TTGGTGATAGTGTGGTTGGAAACAGTGTGGAGGATTCTCACAAATCCGGTGATTTCATCCATTGTAAAGTGAGATTGCTTGACGATACACAGGCCCCACTGGAGTTCACAATAAAGGTTCGTCTTTTGGTTCTTATTGAACTGTTTCAGAAAAGTGATGAAGGTTCCATACTCTTCACTAAAGTCTGCCAGTCTATCGGTGATTTGGTGGAATGTGATTATTTTGGCTTACGTTTTACGGACAAACGAAGTATACGGGTATGATGTTTTTGATTATATTTTATTCTTCAGCAATGGCTAGAGTTGGACAGAAGTGTCTACAAACAATTGAAAGGTTTGCATTCCTCTCATTATTTATTTACGCTGTAGACTGCAAGTCTTATGTGTTGAACTTCCGAGTAAAACATTATCCTCCGGACCCAGTTCATGACTTGGCTCAAAATATTTCCAGGTGAGTTACAATTATCAATTAAGATGAGATGTCTGGCGACCTAATAGTCCCTACTGACGATGGTACTGGGAAGATCTAATCTCACTTTGAAAGTATTCATACAAAATGCCAGTGGTTCGCAATTTTGCTCGTATTACGTATTCTTAGACGTAGGGGCTTTGCTGGTGGTTTATGGACCTTTAAACAGTGTCCTATGTGATGAATAGTTATAGAGTGGAAATACATAAAAATAAGTTGGAAAGTAAACCACTAATCAAGATACGTTACATTGTACGTTGGTTAGGGACCCAATTAATCTTTATTTGTAGGAGAGGTTAGAAGGGCATGTCCTCTTGGTTCCTACCCTGTGCGCCCGTTCTGTAATGTCAGCCTTACATTTAAAACACGGTATTACCTCACGAATCTCATAATTCAAATGGACCCTTACATATTTTTTGTTTACTACCTAAAACATGTCATCAGAGCTCTGAGGAGCGTCTGGTAAAAATCTGAAGATTCGAAAGCCTTTATGAGTTCCCACTCTACAGTCTAGTTGATGTTTTATAACCGAAACCGTGATATCTAAATCTTTGTACTCAACTACTTTAAGTATTAACATGTCGTTAATCAAGTAGTCCTTTGAATTGGATTGTCGTTTTTGCAGAAGTATGATCTTGATGGTACGAGTTCGCCACCATCATGTGTACCTATTCACTAGAACAGTTAGGTTGTTACATAGAAGCACCCTGTCTGCATCACTGATCTCTAGAATTTGAAACTGTCTGCAAACATGATGATGGAAGACCAAGTTGTTGTAGAAAACTCATTCATGTAGATTTGTAGAAATGAACTAAGGCACTTCGCACTTTATTTGTCTCCACGAAGACAGACCATTTACGCCTACTCTCTATTTTCTAACACATGAAATCTTGGTCCAGTTCCTAACTACCTTGTGTTGCAAACATACAGCCTTAGCATGCTACTTGTCACTATTTTGGTGACATCGTATTTCTGATACTAGTTGAAAAAGGTAAATACACTTGGTTTATTTACGTTGATTGCGTTTGATATATTTAGATTCTTGTAAATCCAAGACTAAAGTTATCGAATCTTCATCATCTTGACCGATGTAAGCAGACAGTGTAAGTTGGTCCGTTCATAAAATCCCGTTATTAGCTTTCACTATAAACCAAGGAGGAGATGAATTAGATTGTCAGTTGATTGCTACTGGTCTAAATTAGGTCATCTTAGAAACTAAAGGTCATACAATAGAGTTAGAAGTGTTTCAACTATGTACAAAGCTAAGCTAATAACTTGTCCACAGGAGAAAACAATGTTCAGTTGCCAACTTTCCTTAGTTCGAAAAAATCAAAAATCGAAATGCTTTTAGCAACCTCGTGCAAATTCGTGTAGCAAGAAATAAGCTTGTTGTTTGTGGGCTAATGAAACTACCTGACTGCCCAAGTTTTGGCAGGTGGAGCATTGTTGGAACCCATGACCCACTGACTGAAAGTCAACTACCCAAACCAATGAGCCACAGCTACCTTTTTTCTTAGTTGGTTATTCACTTAAGGTCATAGCTAGTAGATAGTTCCGTTTTATCATCTCGGGTTGTGGGTTGTAATTTCACTCTGTCTAACAAGATTTGACGACCGTGTATTACCATTATATATCCTATATTCGGTAAGTAATGTAACAAACATCATTATTCCTTTATCGGAGAGCGAACCCCTGTCAGCAGTAATTGTTTGACATTTTTACTCATGTATGAATCAAATGTGCTTTTACTAACCACAATGGAATATTGTAAATAGTTAACATTTTTAGCGTACTGTACGTATGTCAGTTTATAAGTACCTTAAGTGAATATTTTTTTCGGTTGATAAACTGACGTCAAAAAAATTTTAAGCGCCGCCTGTGTATAATAGGAACTATTCTCATCCGCCCACTAATCTGGTAGTGATTCCCATTTTAACATTGTGGTGGTATTTCTCAGTAATAACCTTGTCCAATATAGTTTGACTAGAAATGTGAATGTATCATTTAGGTTGTAGTTTGTCAGTGTTCTGTTACCCACTGTTTTCTTGTCTGTACCACTTCAGGTACTTGATGTACCTCCAGATACGTCGTGATCTCACCCAGGGACGTTTGCTGTGTCCATCGAATATGGTTGGAAAAATCGGAGCGCTGGTTGCTCAAGGTAATACATTTTTGAACGTTGGTTTTATTTATGATGTTTTGAGATACTTCATGGCAATGATAGATGTGTGGGAAAGTAGTAGTTGTTAGTTTTCGAACTGATGTTGTACCATTGGTGCGTTTGATTTTTCTGTCATCGTTTGTGAGCCATCTAAAATTGAACATTTTATATGCGTAACACATTTCAGTCATCCCAATATATACTGATCCATCATTACCAACTGATATTTTTATGGTCATCAACTCCCAAAATCGGTTGTTTTCATCACACTAGTGGTTTAATTTTTCTTGGTAAACGTATGTTTGCAACTTCACGCTTGACTTACGTCATCGAATATAAATTATTTCTGTTCATATCCTCAACCAGGTCCTGTTGACCAGCTGGAATTATTATAATTCCTAAGGCAGATGAAGGTTGGGAATTTTGTAGCCACTTTCATCTATCCACTCACAAAAAAGGGGATTTTAACGAGTTGTTTTGCACCTTCATGAACTTTGCAGCTGTTGGAGACTTGAAACAACTACCTGTACACTATAAAAATTATATCAGCATTTTGTTTAACTATTATATCATCTTTATACTTCGCTTCTCCTGATGTATGCAGCTGTTAGAACTCGTTGATGTATGTGCCAAAATGGAAATAGGAGACTTGAAATTGCTTGACTGTTTCAAGCTCAGTTATGTAGTTAGGATGCTGGAGATGCTTTCAAAAATAATTGTAACAACTGACTAACCCCCAGAGATAGGGAAGAAGAGGTCAGTGGATCTCAGTAGTCGAAGGAGGCTTAGACCAGAACGAAGTTAGTGGTTCCCGAGGTAAAACACGAAAGCAGCCCATGAATTCTTTGACTACTGATCTGAACGTGTAGGGGAATGTCGACTTCCTGACTGAAGTCCGTGTAACAACGGAAGTCGATAATTAGAGACTCTAGGGGTTATGGCTGAGAACTGACCTCAGTGTCGTAAGTGCACTCATATAGTCTTCATATTATTCATCATACCGAATAGCATTATTGTTTCATTCCTTCTTGTTCTCTATTCCCAGCTTTGCACCACTAAGACTACTTTCTTTCTTGTTTATCCATCTTTCATCTTGGGCCTTTTCTTTTGGTGTGTTGGTATAAGGAGCGGTAGCTTAAACTGTATTGCCGAGTCCTATGCTGGCTTTGTCCATCTGTTTATCTATCATACAATAACTAAAAATGATGCAGTTTGACTAATATAGTCTCTGAGATCTTAAGTTCCATAATCATCCGACACCTAAAGTAGGCTGTAAAGCCACAAACCCGAGAAAACTAGGCAGTCGTAAGATAATATATATGGTGTGTTGACCGGATCTTGGATGAAATTTTCACACACAAGCATACCTTCGGGGCCCCCACACTGGCTGCTTTTGCTGACTTTAGAGTGGCATTTAATCCCATCGATCGTAAAGTCTTATGACACAGTCTCTCACTGAAAGATATGTTTAGTAAATACATCACTCTTCTGAGCGTTTCTTTACTAGAACACCGGTGGCTATGTTAGAGTCTATCGTGAGTTGTTAGATGCACTGTACACATGGAGTGGGGTCCGTCAAGTATTTCCGCCTTTTTCATTTTTATCCAACTTTATCGTTGATGTGCTACTTGTTTAAGTTTACTCTGTAATAGATTCAGAGTATGTTGATGACATCGTCCTTTTAAGCAAAGGTTGAGTCTCCTGCAAATTGTAAATAATAACTTTGGAGCGTTCGAAACACATTTCTAACCACCCATTTTCAAATTTTAGCTTCAGAACCTGTCTGGATTGGCGAAAAATAACTTAAAGGTGGAATGTATTAGAAGGCCTCCGGTTTTCTATCAACTTTGTTTTTATAGCTTTGCTCTTGTGTCCTATAATCACTCGTTTTCCAGTTTAGGGCTAGGCGTAAAGTTTTAAACAAAGGAGTTCAGTTAGTTGGTGACGTTATGTAGCTTCATTCACTCAGCTGTCTAGGAGATATATTACGCATATCTTATCACCATCCACTCCAATATACGATAGTGATTAAAGTAGGATTAGGCTGTTAAAGGTTTAAGATTACTTGCCTAAACGTGATGTCAGTCCGTAAAGTCTTTAACTACTTACTTGAGCTGTTTAGGGAAATGACCTCAGCACTGAGCTCAGCAAGAAAACCAAAGCCAATGTTTTAAGACTTATTTATATGATTCAGAATCGGTTATGGTTTCCTCAGACACATCCACATCATACGTTCATCCTACTCGTCGTATCGTATTTCAATAGTTCACTTACCTTCTTTTCTTTCAAATTTCTACGGCTTTCTGTTCATTTTTTTCTGTCTGAGTTTTACTTCGGTACTTCATATCCTGCTATGCTGATGTAACGTATGGCAACTTGGCTGTTACGCAGTAATACCATATACAATGTTAACATTGAATAACTCATACTCTGGATCGATGAATAGATTTGTTTGGTTGTCTGTATTTCTCGAAAAACACTCATTTAAATGAATGTTAAGTGAAATTCAGCTTGCCAGACTATAAGCCTTAACTTTACGTGAGGACTTATGATGTTATCTCTTCTCACAGGCCGAAGACAAACAGATAAAAAATTTACGTAAAGCCTTGGACACACATGCATCACCTCAAGTTGTCACACTTCACATCAGTATACGAAGACAGGTAGATAGAATAAGAGTTATATCAAAGTAGACAAACGAGGATGTTCAGAAGAGGGAATTTTAAAAATAAGCTTAGTTGAAACATTCAGGCTTTAGAGGACATCAAACATTGAATACATCGTCATTTTGACTGGTTTTTAGCCATTTCACCAGTCACCCCCAATCGCTGATTCTCTTCATCTCAGGGACCCCAGCCACATAGTCTACACTTCTCTACACGGCTGAGACCAACACTCAGGAAATTCATGGACTGGTGTCACATCTCAATCTGGCCAACCTGAACCCACTTCCAACCTAATCCAACTTCGCGTAGCATGCACGTCGAGGTAGGCGATGGGTTGGAAAGGGTAGTACATGGCTGATCCACCTCAGTGGACTGTGATTCACAACCTCATCAATCGACTTGCTGGCCTATGTTGCCTTGAACTCTTCTCCTTACTCCAACATTGCTCACATAGTGATTCCACCAAACGCGTGGAATGTTACGAAGAGACATATATGATCAAAAACTTGTGGTGACATCATGTGTTCTACTTTCTACGGGCATGTCTCGCACACGTATAACAGGACAGAACGGACTGTAGTGGGATATACTGGTCCCTTGATATATGGTATGATAATCTGGCCAATTGGCACCGGAGGTGAGGCAAGTTGGCGAATGCCGAAGGGGTCTTCTTTAACCGAATTGACATTCGTTAGCGATGCAGCCTGCAAAGTATGTGAGTTATGGCTGACACATTCCAGCAGTTCACTCGATATCAATAAATTGTTAGTAGTTGGAGCAGACCAGTTCTGGGACATCATGTTACATTTGACTGGTTCTAGCTAAACGCATGCTAGAGATGATGATATTTCTGCTGAGCGTGTTGATGAGACTGTGTATTTTGTCATTATCTTCACTGTGGAGGACAATATTGTCTTGCTACTTGAAGTCAAGCAGATTATCTTCAGGGAGTAGATCAATCCATATAAAGGCAGAAGTACATCTATGACGAGGTTTACTAGAAACGGTGACCGTGGACATCCTTTTCAGACACCACTAGTGTTCGTTAGACCTGATGACAACTTTTCATAAGCCATTACACAACTGCATGACTTTGAGTAGAGAACGTTTTGTTTAGGGTTATGTGCTTCCTTATACTGTCAGAAACTGCCACAACACCTCATGGTCGACAGAGTGGATTGCCGCTTTCAGGTCGAGAAATGTGGCAAGTGTCGGCCACCAATAAGTATGCATATGTCCCAGAATCTGTTGAGGGATAAAAATCTGATCGACGCACCCTCATCCATGTCTGAAACCTGCGTGGTTTTCTTGAGCTTTTATTCTCCAGCTCTATTTGGGCGTTGGATAACTTTGAACCCCAGGATCTTGGACACGAAATAAGTTGGATTGATCTCTGGTTATTGCAGAATGACTTCTGCCCCTTCTTGTGGATCGGAATGTTTAGTGAGGTCGACTAGTTTGTTGGCATTACATCTAATAACCATTGACTGCTTAGTACCTCTGTTGTTGCAGTCAGCAATTTCCTACTTCTATCTTTAAAATCTTCGGTTAAAAAACTGTCAGGTCCAGCTGCCTTACGTCGTTTCAGATTGGAAACGACTCTCTTTACCTTCGGTGAGGGTTGGGGGACCGACATCAGGGTCTCATTCGGATCGCTCTTCATTGTCGTCAGAAGCTGCTGGAATAGGTCTTCTAGCACCAATCGCTTTGGATGAGGTTACATAGACCCAGTGACGTTTGCTAACTTTCGGATGTAGTTTACCAACTGTCTACCGCTATTTCCACAGCAGACTACATCTGATAGTTTTGTATTCTGTAGCAAAATCGACAGCTCATAGAATTCCTCGTTTGCATCACCCGAACTGCAGTCTGTGGGTGCTTTGGCGGACATTACGAATAGTTATCTCCTATTCCCACAACCTGTCCTATTTCTTTAAGGTCTGTTCATTTGAATATCACTGAGAAGACTATTGACTGGCATCCAGTCGAGAAGTGCACCTTCTGCCCTACAACTCAGTGCTATACCTAAACCGATGAGTCCACGAGAGCTAGGCGCTGGGTTTTCGGATACTCATAATAAGGATTTGAAGATCTACTTCAATGACCGAATGGAGTCGAGTGAATAACCACGCTGAGGTCCTACATACGTGTCTCAAAAATGCAGCATGCATGCATAGCTTGAGATTCTAGAGTTCTGGAGAGCGATGCTTGCTGTCAGATTTGGATATAGTTCGGTCATTGAAAGCCTCGATATGAAATGAGTGGCGAGATCTTAGGAGACTGGTAGTGGGGTTTCGGTAACTGGTCGTTTGCGGTGGGGTCCGCGGGACAAGAGGAACCAGTGGTTGGAGACTCTAGGTGATATGGCTCAGAACCGATGTCAGTGGCGCAGATGTATACACACATTATCCTCATCTTAACTACACTATACCGAATCTCACCATTTTGTCACTCCTCTTTCCTTTCTTCTAGTGCTTGATATTTCTTTTGACTGCATTCTCTTATCTTCATCCTTCACCTCACTACCTTTCTACTTGATGTACTGATATGAGTTGTGGCAACTCGGACCGTTACGCAGCAGTGCCTGGTCCTATGTTGATATTGATTGATTGGTCGTTTGCGGTGACTGCTGAATTAGAGCATAAGGAAAGTGCAAGGGGCCTAATATTGGTTCCACGTAGTGAAGAAGAATGAGGAGATTCTATTGAGGAGGATAGGTTATGTCTGATTGGCCTGGTGATTGAAATTTCGTGGCTGCACACACCATGGAAGGTTACTTCTTCGTGCGGTACCCGGAAAGGTATAGTACCTGGCCATGAAGTTTTAAGGATGCTTGATTTGGGCCGATTACGTATGGCCTTCTTGCGGTCCTGAGACTTCAGTTCGTTTCGTTTTAATTCGACTATGTGACCCTGTTGCAGGCATCAACATATCACAAGGGTGCGCGGGTATGCTATTTCTAGGGCGGACCTTTTCTTAACCTTACCACTCTTTGCGAAGGCAGCATCAGCATGGAATCGCTGGTTATCCAAGGAAGTTGTTTCTGCTGAGTATCTGCAAGAAAATAGAATTTGTGTAACTGCAGAACCTATGGGATATCTATCTGATGCTTGTCACAAACAACCTTTTCAGGATTGCTGGCTTTAGACTTGGTTGTTTGAATCCGGATAGTATAAATCCATCCTGCCGACTCTAGAAGGCTGTGCGGCTGGGCAGAGTGTACCATTTTTAGCACTGATCTTTTCTGACTCCCCTCCTGTTGGGTGGGGAGGCAGCATTAGCGTGCCACTACTGGTCATCCAAGGGAGACATACTACTGTCAAACTGTTCAGCCAGCAGTACAACTTCACTCTCCGATACTCCTCATAGTGTAGTGGTTTACACTACAGCAGTAACCGCTTTTCATCTTACCACGCTATCCAGGAGACCTTTTAGGTTTGGTAGGACCTTGAGGGAACAAGCGTTCCAGCCATTGCAGCTCATTGGGTAGTTGTGATGTACTAGCCCGACCACCACGCCACGGTAGATGATGATCGAAGTAAGCTAAGTATGCCTATAAGGCTATGCATTTACTTTCCACCATTTGAAATCAGAACCAATGAACTACAAGTGAATATAGGTTATGCTTACTGAGAAATAAGCTTGTGTATGTGTAGGTTTGCGAAGGTTTATTAATTGATTTTAGGTTGGAATTCATCATGAGCTGACACCAGTTGGAGGAACATTGAAAACCTGGGAGCACTGGACGGCTGTTTTGTCCTAGTATGGGACTCCTCAACAGTGCGCACGCATGACTCAACCAGGGAACGAAACCCAGTATCTACAGGTTTCATGGCCAACACGTTACCACTGAGCCACTGGATCGGAATCCAACCGTCCACACTTCCTATTTCTGTCACTTCACTATATAGCGCGACCTACATCTAGTACTTCCATGTTTCCTATGTTTCTCCAACTGATGTCAGTCTATAATGAATTCCAACCGAAAATAAGTTTTTGTATACAACGCTTTGAGTATTAGAGACGAGTTTGCAGTCAACGTAATCAATTGTATTAAATTAGGCACCTTTAAATATGTCAAGTTAAGGAGTCATATGGTTATGTTTAAATCAAATTCATATAGGTAACATCACTTCTTAGCTCTCTCAGAAACTGCTATCGCACATTGTTTGAGTACATTAAAAATCAATTAATCGTCAAATTATAAGACAAGATTTTGTTAATGGTGCTTTGTTTTTGTTGACACTGTATTGATTTTTGATTAATATGATAATATCACATGTTTCCCCTATGACTGATCAGCTCATGTGAAGCATGAAAATGACTTAACTTCTATCAATATCACTCGAATAACTAGTAAACTTGATAAATCACTTTGATTGTTGAAAGTTTAAACGTGAAACATTTGACGAACTACGTATATATCTACTGATATATAATGGAATGAGTTAATTTTTGAATGTCAGATTAATAGTGTGACTTCTCATTATCGTTTGACTATTTGAAATAGCCATAGTTTGACAGACTAGTATTTTGTACTGGTTAATAATTAAAGGTGAGATGAAAATTTGGACCATGGCCGGACCCGATCCCGGTGGTGGCTGGTTCAAGTCCGGCTGCGGTCTAAATTTTCATCTCACCTTCGATCATCAACTGATTCCGTATATGGTTGTTTTTTTTTATGTGAAAGTGTTTGGATTGATGAGTATCAAAATCAATTTATACCATTGATTTAAAACAACGACGTTACTGCAAGGCGTTATATTTTTTTCAGTGAGCATGTTATTCTGCTTAGTGTAGTCAATATCATTGCTGCAAAAAGCTGTGATTTATCATTCTAGATATTTGATTATTAAAGTCTATTCAGGGCATATGCGTTTAAGTCTTCATCCTACATACTGGGTGTGACCTACTGTTGGTTACGCTTTCAGTTATCTTTAATTTGAATTCACCATCAACTTTTCAAGTCTAATCCATACAATTAATAGCTTTAGGTAATTGTATGCACAAACACTGTGATGATTATTACTGTGTAGTGTTTATCAAAAAACAACTTATTCCTTTCACTGGAAAGGATGTCAAGTACTGAATACATCTGCATCGTTTTGCTCAGTTTTTAGCCACATTACTAAGAGTCCTCAACCACTGAATCGTCTCGTCTCTGGTACCCCAACAACACAGTCTACACCTTCCCATATGGCTCAGGCACAGTCAGGACTTGATGTACTGGTGCCATGTCTTGGTTTAGGCACTGTGAACCCTCTTCCAACCTAATCCAACCTGTGTTAGCATGATGTGTTTAGGTAGCTGGTAGTGACTCGGCATGAGCGACACGTTTCCAATCTGATAAAGATTCACAACCTCATCAATCGACTTGCTGGCCTATGTTGCCTTGAACTCTTCTCCTTACTCCAACATTGCTCACATAGTGATTCCACCAAACGCGTGGAATGTTACGAAGAGACATATATGATCAAAAACTTGTGGTGACATCATGTGTTCTACTTTCTACGGGCATGTCTCGCACACGTATAACAGGACAGAACGGACTGTAGTGGGATATACTGGTCCCTTGATATATGGTATGATAATCTGGCCAATTGGCACCGGAGGTGAGGCAAGTTGGCGAATGCCGAAGGGGTCTTCTTTAACCGAATTGACATTCGTTAGCGATGCAGCCTGCAAAATATGTGAGTTATGGCTGACACATTCCAGCAGTTCACTCGATATCAATAAATTGTTAGTAGTTGGAGCAGACCAGTTCTGGGACATCATGTTACATTTGACTGGTTCTAGCTAAACGCATGCTAGAGATGATGATATTTCTGCTGAGCGTGTTGATGAGACTGTGTATTTTGTCATTATCTTCACTGTGGAGGACAATATTGTCTTGCTACTTGAAGTCAAGCAGATTATCTTCAGGGAGTAGATCAATCCCTTTTAATTCGCTGGTACATTGGGTTATATCTATTATCAGATCTACAGGGCAGTTAAATAGGGACAGTGACAATGGTGATCCGTATGGGACGTTCATCCGTGTACAATTGAAACCCAGTAATCTACCCTGTTTAGCAAATTAAATAATCTCATATTGATTGGCCAACGCCATGTTGTTTGGTCTTATAATAGGTCAGCGTCTACCTGAATAGCCCGGTGATGACTTCTCCAGCTGCGGTGTCAGATGACGTGAGTTTGGATCTCTTAAATTGTAAAGGTCTTAAAGATTACAGATACGTCTAGCGTATGTATGTGCCAAGATGCACTCAGCATAGTCTTTTGGCTTTCTGTCAATTATCTTCAACCACCGGAAAATCAAAATAAGTGGCTATTATTTAGTTTCTGAAATTTTAGGCTTTTATTTATGTATGTTTCTGATTAGATAAAAAGGTTCAATGCACTGATTTATTGTGTAGTATTTGTACTGGTGTCATACAACAGCATAACTTGGACACTGTGGTAGAGTCTTATTCCTCTAAATTATTGTTCTAGTGCTCAACTGGACAAGTCAGCGGAAATCATTGCCAACCAGATTTCAAAGTCAACAGTTTCTAAGGTAATTCTACTTCAGCCTATGCATTCATTTTATTATCTGAAAAAGAATGAATAAGCTTTAAAAATGATGATACCATTTACTGTTTAATTACTTAAAACTATTTTCTCTTATTTATTTTTAATTGATCAAAATTTCAAAACAGCTGAAATTGGTGATGCACCATCAGAACAAGTAGAAATACCAAATGGTGATGTGAATCAGTGTACATCTCTATCATATGATTCACAGTTAAATTGTACAGAGTCTACAGAATCTACAAATATGTCTAATACTTCAAATTATGATCAGTGTATGCAAAATGAAACACTGGATTATACAGCATGTTATGAAATGTTTCGTAAATTGAAAATCATCTTCAATCAAACACCAGAGATTGAAGCACAAATAATGAAGGAATATCAAAAACTTCGGTAATTTCATCCCCATATATATATATATATATATATATATATATATATATATATATATACCTACTTTTTGGTTAAAAAAAAAATAGTTGTTCATGTATAGTTTATTATAAGTGGTTTATAAATTGTTCTGATTTATTTTTTGTTTGTTTACTATTTTTAACTGTTGAAAAACTTAACAATTGAATTTTAAATGTTTAAGGTATTTACTCTATTTTGGTGTAGATTGTTTGTGTTGTATTGTCTCAGCTACCGTCTTCAATAAAGATTTCATCTAATAATGATGGATATTTATAAACATTATAATTTAGGATGTATATTTCTTCCTATTTATAACAAATAATTTCAGGTAATTAAAGGTTAATATTCAGGAATTCATGCGTCAATAGTGGCCAATTAAACAGTAGGAAATTATGAAGTTATAAAATTCAATACCCTCCAGTTACAACAAGAGTTAGACTTGCATTCCTATTGTTGAAGACTGTGTCTCTACTACTTTTATCGATCAACAAAGTCTGTTTTGATTACAGTGTAGGCCAAAACTCGGTTTGTAACATGCTTTGAAGTTGTAGAAAGCTATTAATAGTATATGCGAACCTTTTGACAAGTGTATTTCATTGTTTCACAAATAATTGCCTACATATTGTACTTATCTATCAATGTGACAATTTGGGTAACATTTGATTGACTGACAAAATAAACGTGGGACCTCGCACACCAGGGTATCGGCTCAAGTCATCTCACTTCACAGTAGTACACAAAGAACAGGTAAATAGAAAAGCAGTAATATCGAAGTTGACGGAGTTGTGATAGAATAAACAATCTGAGATAAGAGTTAGTGCGAATATATAAGAAATGAATATATCTGCATCATTGTAACTGATTTTCAGCCATGTCACAAAGTGTTTTCAACCACTGATTCGTTTCGTCTCTGCGACCCTGCTAGATAGTCCACATCGCTTCCCACACAGCTGATACCAAGAGTCAGGGACTTTTTGGACTGGTGTCACATCTTTGGCTGGCCACTCTGATCCTCTTCTAATCTAATCCAATTTCTTCTAGGATGGCAGTAACTTGGCATGCACGATATATTCGCAAGCCACGCCACTTGACTAAGGTTCACAACCTTATTTATGTTGAAACTGTTGTTCAAATAGCTAATGGATTACTGGATTGTCTCAGCTTTTTATGTTAAAATACGGGTAGGTCGATGCAAAATGTTCCAAAAAAGTGCAGCTATTCCAGCTGTTAGTTACAATTTACGATTGAAGTTGAAAAGAAAATGAACAAATATGAAGGGAGCTAGAATAACCGACTGAAGAAAAGTGGAAATTCAGGCATTATAAGTGAATTTCTCTGAATCCCTGTAACTGAACCCCAGTCATATCACCAAAACTTTCCAATCACTGTATGCTAAAAACTTAATCCTATTTGTGTTAGGGATGGCTAATTCTTAGGATAACTAATTTATAATATGTTTATATTATCATTATAAAGTTTGAGCCTTATTTTCACGCCCTTTTTGCGCCATGTTATGTCTCTTATTTTTACCGCAGTTTAGGATACTAAACTCTGATTGGTCCGTTTTACGATTTGAATATGCTTTTTTGTTTTCTATGGCCAAGGCCATCTAAGGATATATAAAGGAATGAGTTTTCACTTATTATGATTCGGTTGTAGTAGATAAACTTTCAATCCCATCGTCTCCTGGTGTGAGCGGAATATCGAGTTCAGAGGTCATTGTTCCATCGTTAATTGTATCACCTCGGAGCGTTGTATCGTTATCTATAGTACAGAATCGTAACAACTTCAGATAAGATTTCGCTTTGTGAAAGATGTTAGCTTGTGCGTTTAACATATGTCACAGTAATCTCAGTCAGTAAATGTTTACCACCTCATTATCAAACTTGCCTCCAGTATATCAATATCCTATGCCGAATTGCGGCATTACTCACTCTTTGGTTCCATTTGCCAGAAATGCTACGTTTACAATTTACATCAAAAACATAATCACTAAATGTCTTCCACTCCAAATAGCTGCATTCACAGCCGTAGAGTAGTGCAGGGTAGATTCATGTACAATGTATTCATCTTGTAGTAAGTAGTCAGAAACGTTGCCATTACTATTGTTGATATTCTCGGATGCGATCTATTGGGGACGTGTAATCCAGTTACTGGATGGACAATACGATACTTGACAACTGGGTCAGCTGACACAAGAAGAAGGTATAGTCCAGGGATACACCTCTCACGTTTATATGCAGTGCATGCAACCTTGTGGCGAATAGACAAAATAGCATATTAAAAGTGGAAGATTAACCAAACAACGATTTTAAAATCGGTAAAATTGAGCTATACTTGTTGGCCTGAAAAAGGCGCAAAAAAGATAATTCTAATTTTTCATAAGATAAATTTATAAGGTGGAGATGTAACATCTTAAGCAGGTATGGATAATGAACGATGGGCCTTTTTATACCATTGTTTGGCTTTCACCAGCAACTCCCCCATCTTGACTGTTCCAACTTTTTAAATCGTCAACATGACCAACATCACCACATTCTTTGTATCCTGAAGTATCTTCTATCGTTTAACAGGTGCTAGATGCATGCCAAAAACAATCAGATTTTTAGTCGTAATGTTCAGAGAACTCTGTATTTTCACTTCAGTGTAAGTATTTTATTTGTGGACAATAAGTCAACCAGATGCTCTACGGCCAGCGGATCAATCAATACCTTATAAAACATATGCAAGCTGAGTTAGTTAAATCACTATTGGTATTATTCAAGTGTATATAGGTTTATGAATCTTACATCGAACCTCAGGTGTGTTTCAACAAAGACTTAATCTTCCACTTCTTGGTTACACTGTTGTAAGCAATAAGTTTGAAACAAGAGTAATTTTTTGGAGTAATTCTTGTGGATAAAATTAAATCGTATAAGTTGACTGTATAGAATTAAAACTTTATATCCCTAAAAGTTAAAAATTATTTATTTTACTACAATGCATAATTTCAATTCTTATGGATGTCATAAGCTTTAAAAATCGGAAAACACCTGATTCACATTATTGTATTCTTACATTTCTTGGAATAATATATTGTTTAGGTAAATAACAAGCGTTAGATACATCACCTGTGTACAGATGTTGGACATATCAATCTACACAAACGTCCAACCACGCGGTTATGCCTCTGATTCTCATCCCGGGTACATGACTTTGACCCACCAATTATAATCCCACTTATTCCTACACAACAAGTTAACCTAATGATTTGGTTCACAAGGCTTTGTGTAGTTTCTTAGCTGCACTGCAGTTTATCCTTTGTCAAACCTTTACAATTTTAGTCGATGAACTAAGTAATTTTGTTAAATTTGAAGGTTTTTATCATTTACAAACGGTGGAAACTTTGCAGTGTAGTATAAGAAGTCAGAATAGATGACTTTAGGCTAAATCTTCTAAATATCGCTTAGTTATCATTCACAATTAGAGTAGGACTAAATAGGTAATGTCTTTGAATTTACTAGAACAGGGTAAACTTGTTTGCCATGAATTTCATTTATCATAATATAAACAAGTTCACAGCCCTGTAGACTCCAATCACTCCAGTCGACTATGGATGCCATTCCAAAGAATGATTGTCAAGTGTTTGGTTGCTGTTTCATGCTAGTTTGGAACATGTGAGTAGTATTGACAACTTCAGTTTTCTGGGATAACTTATGGATAAGTTGGGAAAATTGCGGTTGAACAATTTGGTTAAAACTTAGACATAAAATTGTACAACTTGATTTGATAACAATCTTTTGAAAAGGCATATCTTCACTACATATAATCGTATTCAAAGTTATCGATAAAACGTGTAAAAGCTCTTGTGAAGGTATAGTCTAGTATTTTTTTTTGAAGAATTAAGGTACAGCCAATTCACTACAAAATCAGTTTCAGTAGATTAGGAATACAAAGGAGTACGTGACAAATTGCTCAGTCCTGGTTGAAATTAACCAACAGCTGAGCGACTTTTCAACTAGTGATCTATGTTATCAACAGAGTTTCTGTTGGGAACCACTCAGCCAACATCACAAAGTATGATTGATCTCCAACATGTCATGAATTAACGAGACTTACTACTATTGAACTTTTTGAGTAGTTACGAAACACTCAGGCTGATTTGTGGTTTTCACCAGTCAGATCATAGTGATCTTAAGAATAGATAGCTGTTTCGCTCCTTTAGGACAGTCTGAACAGTTAGCCTCTGTCAGCTGAACTTGTTACATTTCTTTCTACAAAGTGCATACTTTGGAGAGTGTACCAAGTTATTTCAGCTTGACAATTGGTTATTAATAATTGGGCTATCTGTATTCTCCTGGTGTCGACTATTTGGTTGGACAGGTCGACTGCATTGTTATATTTCACTACTATTTGATTTATAATAGGATTTTAGATGTGATAATTTAACCGTGGAGTTCAGTATAAACATTCCGACTTATTCATCAGTTTTTTGTGTAAGTAGATGAACTGCATAGTTTCTTTGTGACTGACTGACTGACTGACGAAATCAACGTATAACCTCGCATTTAAGTGCATGAACTCAAGTTGCCACACTACACAATAGTATGCAAAGAACAAGCGATATCCAAGTAGAAGTTGTGTGAGAGAATAAACAATCTGAAGATGAAGGTTAATGCGAATGTTGATGCTTTAGATGTCAAGGAGTGAATACATCTGCGTCATTGTGACTGGTTTCCAGCCGTTTCACCAAGTGTCCTCAACCAATGATTCCGTTTATCTCGAAGACCCCAACCAGATAGTCCACATCTCCCAAGGCGACTGAGACCAAAAGTCGGGGACTTCATGGACTGGTGCCACGTCTTGGTTTAGCCACCCTGAACCCTCTTCCAACTTAACCTAACTTCTGTTAGCTCGACATATCGAAGTTGTCAGTGACTCGGCATGCGGGACACCTATTCAAGCCATCTCAGCCGATGAAGATTCACCACCTCATCAACGGACTTGCCTATGTTGCTTTGGACCTCAACATTACTCACACGGTGATTCTACCAAACATGAGGAGTGCTACGAAGACATGTGTGATCAAAACCTTGTACTTGCTTTATGTGTTCTACGTTCAGTGTACATGTCTTGCACAAGTATGATAGAATAGGATGGATTGCAGCGCAGTACACTCGTCCTTTGTTTAGTAGTTGGATATCTCACCACTAGGAACCACAGGTGACGCAGGTTGGCAAGTACCAAACGGTCTTTCGGTACCCGAGCTGAGATTTCGTTAGCGACCAAACCCGTTCGAAATGATGCACTTCTCTAAGTATGTAAGGTGGTCGACACATTCCAGCAGTTCACTCCATATCAATAAACTCCTAGTAATTGCAGCAGACCAGTCCTTGAGCATCATCTTACAGTTGACCGGTTCCAGCTAAACGCATGCCGGAGATACTGATATTTCTGCTCAAAGCGTTCAGAAGAAGCTGTATTTTCTAGCGTCTTCACCTAGCAGAGCAGTTGACTGTAGTTGCTTATTGGTTTCACTCTTATCAGCTTGGAGGTAGGGCATATAGTGCTTGGTATGGCATGGTGTGGTCATTGGCAAATACTGAGTTTTAAACGCAGACAAATAATGAATGTTGAACAGGAGGAAGATATAAAAATCCTGAATTCCGCTGTTAATAGACTCATATTTTATTTGTGACACTCTGGGTATTTTGCATTATCCTTCAGTAAGTATCTACTTTCATAAGTAAGTGAAGTGTTCTGAAGTGAACTTTCATTTCTTAAAGGAATTAAAAAGTGTTGAGCATATGTTAGTTGGTTGTGCAATTATCGATAAGAATAAAGTGCTGAACACAAGATTGATTCAGTACTGTATGTAATCTAATATCAATTTCTTTAAGTTGCATACTTGTTGAGTAAATTAATTTCTCACCTGACTGCTAGCATGTCATATGATCAATACGTAGTTGTGAATGTGTAGTTCCGGTCAGTTGGTTCTGTTGGGTAATCAACTGTTTTACAACTTTTGTGTATTTATTATTGACGGTATATACTTGTTCTTTTCAGTGGAACATCATTACTAGTAGTAATTATTTTTTCTGATGCTCCATTATGAGTTATTCGTAACTACTAGTGTAGTGGGCGCTGCTGATCAGAATGGATATAAGTAGGATATGTTGAGAGGGTGGCAGAAATCATGGGCAATTACCGGCAGTGGATAAATATTCTGCTCAGGGAAACGCAAGAGACAGTGTGAGCGTATTAAGGGCAAATCATGATAGAAGCAGAAGAGGAAATGGAGCACATTGTGCAAATGACTGTCTTAGTGGAAGGTGTACAATTTTCATCAGTGCTGTACAAAATGTCAGTAATAAACATTCCTTCTTGCATCTCAGTCTCGTCGTTTCCTACACTAGAAGTTGTTACCATGGCTCTCCTATTTTCGTGATAAAATTATTTAAAAAGCCGAGATTGTGTTGTAACTGTATTGTTGTCTAAGTAAACTTTATGTCATATATGTTTGTTTTCGTCACATGCCTTATTTCCTTATAATAATCAATGCAAACTAAAGCGTATTCCGATTGTACGGGTCATTTGATTATAAATAATGGCTTATGCTTTTCACACACACATTGTTTTGTATTCCTCCTCAACTGAACACAACCCCGTTTATTTGGTGTCAGGTGATCATCCTAAATTTGTGCCACATTGTTGAAGTAATGAAAGCTTATTGGACGAAATAGTTCTCACGCGACAATCACAATGAAGCAAACAGTTCATTATGAAAATAATTTCCAGGTTAGGCTGTTTACTGGAGTTCTTTTGAAGCGACTAGTTATATTGCCCTGTGACTCAAATGACAATAGACAAAAATTTCTAATTGATGGTTTAACTAATAAGCACTTATACCATAGCCACAAGTTGTTCATTAACTGTCTTCTGAGTAATAATATAGTTTGATGACTTTCTTCTGATATTCTAAATATTTTTTTAAAGGCTGATATTGTCTGTGAAATGCTGTTTACATCAGTGTTTCGGTACATTTTAAGGAGATCCACTAGAAACTACTTTTTTGGCTGCAGAAGGTAATCGGTATGAGAATATGTTTTCAGACAATTTCAAGGATCTATCATTATACTTCTAACAGTTTAGCAACATAAGCAATCTTACGATTCTATTTATTTCGTCATATCTGTTTCACAGATGTTGTTTACACCCCATCCTCATTATTGAGTATTTTATTTTACTAAATTATCATCATATCTATCCGCTGAGTTTGTTTTTCAGTAACTTGAAACATTTTTTTTTGCATTCTGAGTTTATCGTACAGTACGCATTATAGAAATGTATGTTGAACAAGTCTTGTTTAAGTGTAGACCATGTCTTTACCATCACTATGCGTTTTACCATCCACTGCCCATTCCTTGTCTCTGCTTAGATGCTGCTAGACAGATTAACCCTATTTTCATTAAGTTTTACCATGCTTTTGAGAACATAAAGAACACACTATAGCGCAAGGTTGTGCATCTCTCTCTCTCTCTCTCTCTAGTGTATCTGAAAATGTACACAAACAGTGTATGCTGATTTAGTTAAACATGTTTTTGTAGTTCATCTGTTAGTTAGATTATTCAGTTTTCTGATCATATATTCATGCTTTATGCCATCACCTACAGGTTTAGTCATGATCAGCCTTGTGCACATCTTTTTTAATCTGTGCGTGTATAGCTCACAGTAGAGAATCGATTTCACTAATCATATGATAATGACTTGTCACTGACTGCAACTAGCGTAGACAACGCCGGATATCTGCTGTGTACATACGCTTCCAAAAGTCTTTCAACGGGGGATATGACTAGTGTTCACCTATTGAATAAACCGACGTGGTCCAGTACATCATCAGCTGATGATGTTATCTAGAGTCCTCCCGTTGTACGACAGTATTCACATGAGTTAATTGAAAGGGGATGGAGGCGGATATGAATGCATGTCTATAGCATTGCTCAAATCATATGATGTAAATCGACTTAATTCCTCAGAAAACCATTTTGGAGTACAATGAGCATTTGAATTTTAATAAGAAATTGAAGATGGTTTTACTATGATGACAAACAATCTCACAGGTGATGACTAAACAGTATAGTTTATTTTGTGTTACAATTTCTATAATTTAGAAACCAGTTGTCAGCTTTTTGTTAATCAGTAGTTCATAGGTTGCTTCTTAATAATGTCATCAAATTATATGCATAGTTGTACTTTGTCAAAAAGTTTTCGACTAACAATACACACAACAGTTAAATACCTAATTATTTTTCCGAGGGTACTTAAATTTATAAAATGTATTTACTAATTGTGTTGTTAGGTTATTTCTGTTCGTATGTTATCCTTTTCTTGTCCACTATTAAACAATTCAGCTCAGAGAACACAATACAACCAAGACCATCCACTTGAGCTATAAATATTCTCCACGTTTTTTTTTATCCTATCACTTTTAAACATTTTTGACCATGATATTAGGATTTTTGTTGATATTGTGTGTAATTTTTACTGATTTGTATTTCATTCTACTTTTAGAGGTCTGAAAGCAGTTGAAGCAGAAACTGAACTCTTATTACGTGCATCACAGCTACCAACTTATGGAATCGATCCTGTACCAGCTACGGTATGTTTTTCAGATACTTTTTTTGTCATCAATGTTGATTAATCAGGTAGTTTCAATGAGGTCGGATTATTTCACCCATCGTTTGTCTAGACCATTATAATAGTTTTAAGTTATTTTTCACAAATTATTCATCTTGGAAAATTTCATTTTTATATGTCTATGCATTTTTATAAAGTAAACATTCATCTGTTTATTATAGTTTAAACTTAAGCTCATTAGTAAGACTTTTGTGCATTTAAGAGCTTGAACTTATACATCAGAATATTGTTTTACGATGCAGTAATGAACTGCTGTATATAATCAATATAAATATGGAGTTGTGGGGCATTGACAACAATATTGTTTCAAGCCTTACCAAACTAAGAACTTCTCTCAGCATAAGAAGGTTACCGTGCAGGTAACCGATATCTTCAAATAATTTGACTCAACGTATTCATTATTATAAGTTATCTTCAAACTGACGTTTTTCAGTAGATCCATGGATTTGAGAGCAATAGAAGACCATTTACGGATATTACGCTCTAGGGCCTCGAGTGGAACCTAAAGGGGAAACGACGAATTGGGCGTCCAGGGGTAACATGAAGGAGATCGTGTGAGGAAGAAATGAAAGCTTCTGGGCAGTTGTGGAGCCCGGTTGAAAAGACTAGAGAGAAGAGAGTGAAATGGTGACGTGCTACTGAAGCCCTATGTTTTACTAAGAACCCAAGAGAAAAATGATAATAATAATGTATATTGTTTAGTGGCGTTGTGGGGATTTCCAGATTGCTACATGAAAGCATCGTTCATCTTAAAATTCTTTCCTTGTTTCACAGACGATAGAATTCATCACGGATAAAGAAATTGAAGAGATGGTACTGCGTACTTATAAGTGATTTTTGAATAGTTAATTTTAGCAGTCATTCAGCTATTCTAAGATTTTAATGAAAGGCAAGTATGAGTACGATAAAGCGGTCCAGTCTTCTTCACTTATTCAGTCTTATTGTATTTCGTTGTTTATAATTAAGGATTCGGAGTCTCAGTTCCCACTCTTAAATATGCAGCAGCTTACTACTTGATTCTTCTAAGACTTGACGCTTCTCATATGCGAGCGATTCATTAGTACGCTCATTGCAACTAGTTGTATTCAGCAAAACCGTTCACACTGACAGGTCCTACTGATTTTTGCAGTCGGTATTTTTTTGATTAAGCTGTGTTGAATAAGGGGATCGATTTCCTTCTTTGATAGTTGCTTAAAAGATCCATTAGGATTATCGCTACTCTCAAGGCTTGTTTATATCAACTTATACGCAGTTATATCAGCTAAGTAGATAAGAAAAAATAAGCAGAATTTCAGATTATGCACAGGTAAATATTAAATATTATAATCCCTATGCCAAACGCTTACTGAAATGTGATCTGTTCTTATGTAAATGTCAACGATTATAAGCAGTATACTAAAAAAAAATTGGTCTCAGATTACATTTGACTAGGATAATTTCGAAGTTATTGGTGGTCAGGTTAAATGCACACTTTCAGGTTTTCTGAAATGTAGTCAACATTTGGTACATGAGGGGCTGTTGAGAACATCATTTTCAACATTGTCAGAAAAGCACAAATAATATGAAATACAGATTTCCAGGGCAGGTATAATCTCGCATCTGTGGTTCACTACTGATCTAGACATTTCATTCTTCATCATTGAGTAACAGATTTAGTGAAGTTGTGACTTAGTATACTTGGTATTGATGTTTAACCCACTAAGTAGTGGGTTTAAGCGTTACTTAAATAAAGGCAGCCAGTGTAGACGGCATTATGGTAATAATTGTGAATCTTTGAACAATGCAAAACCTTTTCATGAGGTTCGTGATTTGCTGATTTCAGTTATCTGATTTAATGAACTATTTAGTTTTATGTAGCAAGCGTGGTTCATAGATTTGTACGTAAAGTCCTTTTTCTGCCTTATCAGTAAACATCTAGTCCGGTGAAAGTGGAAGATTTTGATTTTGTAAATATGCCATTTTGTTTATTTCTTTCTGAAGTGGTGGCAGTAGTAGTGATCTGAGTTTGGTTTACGTTTCCACTAATGAACATTTCAATGTGCCATGCTAACAGAAGGTGGATTAGGTTGGAAGAGGGTTCAGGGTCGCCAGATCAAAACCTTGCACCAGTCCATGAAGTCTCTTACTGTTGGTCTGAGTCATGTGGGGAGATGTAGACTGCCTGGTTAGGGTCTCTGAGATGATAGAACGGTTGGTGACATGCCTGAAAATCTGTCACATTGAAGCAAATGTATTCACCCCTTCACATCTAAATTCTGAATATTCGCACTAACCGTTATCTTCAGATTGTTTATTCTCTCACACAACTTTTTCTACTTAGATATCAGTCTTTTTTACATCCACCTGTTCTTTGTGTATTACTGTGAAATGTGGTAACTTGAGTCAATGCACCTGTTTGCGAGGTTGATTTTGTAAGTCAGTCCGACGTCGTCCTACAAAGTCATAGAGATGGGAAGATTCATCTGAAAGACACATGTTGTGGTCTTTATTCAAACTTCGACAGCTTTGCCCAGTCAGCTACAAAAAATGTTTGTTAAGAGCAATTTCCAGCCGTACGTGTAAACTGCGCTGTGTAGAGAAAATTGAGCAAGAAGTGACCTTTGTTGAGCACTGTCTACACAAAAACGGTTACCCACGAAAGTTCATGGAATGAAGAGAATCAGTTACAGTACAGTTAACAAGAGGTCTGTTTTTCAACACCTTGCCTTCAAAGGGGATTCAGTGCTGCTCTAAAAACGACACATCTAGCAGCCAAAATAATTTCTGTGTATTATACTAGACATTCATTGAAAGAATCTAAAGTGGACAAGTTCTCAATTCTTGTTACCACCGATTGTATCTACCATTTCACATGAATGTGCGAAAGCGCATACGTTGAAAGAAGGAATCAAGGGTTATTGTCTACATTTCTGAACATATCCTGAAGAATTTGAGTCTAATGTGTTCACAGAGTTTAGATAGCGCAATCACTTGACATTAACTTGATACTAGACATAAATTCGACGTATTATAGCCGTTCAAAATGATCAATAGACAATTGAAATTCCCCCCCCCCATTTTTCGCGATTTACTGAAGCATATACAATTAAAAGACTGAAACATGATCTATGTATTTGACAGGATACTGTCGTCAATCTTGCGTTACTTTGTTTAGTAATTGTAATTTCCTAGATTTGTCAAAACAAAATTTTATGACTTCATGGTCTTCTGTTTTATTTTTCACTTTGTTCTATTTCAAAGCGTAGTCTCAGTTTTTGAGTTGTATTCATCCTATCATTCAATATCATGAAAACTTATTGATCTTTTATTATGCTTACTTAAGCATGACGTCACCATTTTTAGAATAACATGTATACAACCCCATCCCTTTCTCTAGGATATTCATTCTATCACTGTATAAATAGTTAACCTTTGAGAAGTCTTAACAACTTTACCAACTTCAAACAGTCTAAATCTTTGTTACCTTCCATTTGAATCGAAGAATTATTGACGAGTTATCAAAGTACATTGTATAATTTTTTTATATTCTAAACATTATATTCTATTGGTTGTAAAGCAGCCGAGGTGAATGCCCAAAACACATCGATGCTAATTCTGCTACTATTGTTCTTGTTGTTTTGCTTGAATTCATGAAAGGGAAAATTGTATGGAAAATTTACTGAGTTCCTCTATTTCCAGTGAACTGACTGGCTGACAAAATCAACCTCGCAAACAGGTGCATTGACTCAAGTTACCACATTTCACAGTAATACACAAAGAACAGGTGGATGTAAAAACGACTGATATCTAAGTAGAAAAAGTTGTGTGAGAGAATAAACAATCTGAAGATAACGGTTAGTGCGAATATTCAGAATTTAGATGTGAAGGGGTGAATACATTTGCTTCAATGTGACAGATTTTCAGGCATGTCACCAACCGTCCTATCATCTCAGAGACCTAACCAGGCAGTCTACATCTCCCCACATGACTCAGACCAACAGTAAGAGACTTCATAGACTGGTGCAAGGTTTTGATCTGGCGACCCTGAATCCTCTTTCAACCTAATTCAACTTCCTTCAGCATGGTGCGTCGAGGTATATGGTGGCCCGGCATGCGTGGTACATGTTAAAGTCGTCTCAGTTGAATAAGGTTCACAACCTCATCAATCGACTTACCTATGTTTCCCAGAACTCTTCTTGTGACCTCAGCATTACTCATACTGTAACTCTAAGACAAAGACATCTGTGATCAAAAGTCTTTAACCGCCTCATATCGTATACTTTTAAAGGCCATATCTCAGTCTCATCGCCGTACAAAAAGCGAGAATGAACTGTAGCGCAGTATACTCGTCCTTTTACAGATATTCGGATATCTTGCTAGTCGCCCCCACAGATGGTGTTGGCCGGCAAACAGCAAACAGGCCTTCTGTATCTGAACATATGCAACTCACTAAGTAAGTGAAGTGGTTGACACATTCAACCACTTTCTGGTGGGACTTTCTTTTCAATATTGAATATTGATGTGTGAGCAGTATGAGGTTTAGCAAACGTGAGTATGAGTGTTCACAGATGGCTTATATTCAACAAATAATCTTTATATTTTTTGAGGTTAGTGAGGATTTTATTGTTACAGTAGCATTCATCACGTATTGATATCATTTGGAGAACCTTTGAAAAGCTGGGACTCCTCAGTAGTATTCACTGACGATTTGGCTAGGGATCGAACTCAGGACGTTCAGGATTCACATCCCATACTTGGACGAAACAGCTATTCAGTGCTCCTGGGTTTTGAATGGTTCACCAACTAATTTTATTCTGCGATGATTTCTACATAATCTTTAATTTGGAATATCGTCATATACTACTAGTTAGTGAGTTTTCTGGGTTTTTTCACAAATCACCTTTGTGAATTTTTAATGATTTCTCCTCTTTTTCTTCATTTAACTAACTAAAGCCAATGCAAAAAATCTATCTGCCTATTACAACCACAACAACTGGAAACAATGCATCACCGACAACTGCTAATGGTACAAGCGGAGACCAACTATCAGTCAGTTTAAGTACTCAACCTGTCAATCTACCAGAAGGAGCTACTTTCTATTTGGGTATAACTAGTACGGGTGTAGTCACTTTTGTTGGACGTCAGAGGAATGCAGAATACACATGGTGAGTTTTAATTATTCGCAACAGTGTATCTCCTGATAACCAAATTACATGAGTACAGCATCTAAAACTGTGGCAAACAATTGAAAATGGAATGCCTAAAACACTGACGTATTATTTACGTTGGGATAATAAGAAAGATTTGTAGGGATGATGGTTGTTAGATGAGTTTCATATTTCACCTTGAACGTTTCATTTCCCCTACTAATGATGCCACAATGACTCCTCACGAAGTTGGTACTGATGAAGTTACCAAGCGTCTGGTTGAAAACCTCTGCGATTAAATATTAAATATTTTCCATTCTGTCGGTCACTTACTTACTCAGTGAAATGGACGCACTATAGAGTTTAGTGTTTTCTATCCATTCCTGCTTGTGTGACTGAAAGTGAATGTTTTTATACTTAAGTTACTGGTCTTACTAAATTCTAACTATTTACTTTGGTAAATATGAAAATTGAAGTTCTTTTTCTTACTATTGAAAGATTTACGACAGTTAGCTGTTACCACTTGTGTAAGATAAGGGGAACAAAGTATTCAGCGGAGAGACTCTTTTCAACGAATTTATTTTCAAGCTGTACAGTCGTATATATATGATATTTGAAACGTATCCTGTGGGGAAAACTTAACACTATATGATGATGGTGACAATAATAATAGAGCGGGAACATTTCAATGGATTAAACGTTGTTGTGCTCAATATGGGCTCTGAGAGTATAAGATCGACGCTAGTAATAACCTTTAATGATGTTACATAATGTCAAAGTATTCCAGTAAAAAAATGACTACATTTATAAAATAATGCAAATTAACTACCATATATATATATATATATATATATATATATATATATATATATATATATATATATATATATATATATATATATATATATATATAGGTTATCGCTTGGCTATTATCTGTGATCATTTACACGTATTTTGAGCTGTTATTTTAAAATCAGCTATATGCTCAAGAAATATACATTTTATAAGATTTAAACTGAGCTTAAGGACTCGATTATCAACTAGTACGTCACAAGGTAGGTATAAACTCTGTATCAACCTAATGAGGTTTAGGCGATCAGATAGCTTACTCATAGCGAATCTGTGCACGGTGGTTCATTTGCGTTATTTTATAAATGTAGTCATTTTTTACTGGAACACTTTGACATTATGTGACATCACTAGAGGTTATTACTCGCGTCGATCTTATACTCTCAGAGCCTATATTCAGCATAAATAAACAAGATGGCAATGTGATAAGGCAAATGTTATAGCGTATCTTTATTTCCCTAATCTAGGAGCTCTACTCTTATATATATATATATATATATATATATATATATATATATATATATATATATATATATATATACATATATATATATATACATATATATATATATAATATCATTAGTGGTTGTGTGACTTCATATGTAAGTCTGTTATCGTTTTGTGTCTACACCACACTTATGCTATTCAGTGGACTTGATAAAATGTTTCCACTACAGCTAATTGCTAAGTGCACATCTTATTTATGCTTTATGGTTGTACTTGACAGTTAAGTAAATTAACCGATAAATTTATTACCCCTTCTTATTTGAATTAATATTCATTTAGCTGCATTGTGTAATTGTTGAGTTTAATAGGTCAGTTGGTAGAGCACCAGGCCAGAAACACTGGGTGGTCTCTAGTCTGCATCCCACCGCGGCGTAAATTTTCATTTCACCTTCAGTCGTCATCACCCAGTATCAATGTATTCATTTCAGTATAATTGCTTGTATTATCTCGTCGCTGATTGAACTGAATTGATCGGTGTCTATTGGTACATGGGCTCCCGTACAGATGCCTCGATATTATTTCTGTTCTTAATTGTAGTAAAGATGGATAGTGGCTAGCAGTAGAATCCGGGATGCGCATTTCGTCCTGTTTGGGACTCATCATCTGGGTATGCCTGCCTCCCAGTGAGTGTTGTCCCCGCCGGGATTCGAACTCGGTTGCGGTCGTTTCAAACGCCAAGGCGTTATCCACTACACCACTGAGCCACCATAGCCACTCCTTATGCGATGGGTGTAATTTTAGTATAATTGCTTGTATTCTACCGTCGAGTCCCAAATAGGACGAAATGCCCGTCCTGGATTTCACTGCTAGCCATTATCCACCATTATGGTATTTATTTCACTATATTTTATTAACTACCAGTTGTCACTAAACATACATATGTTTCTGTTTTATTTCAGGGATCAAATTCATCGTTTGGGCTGTGATGGGAAATTATTCTTAGTGTACTTGAAAAGGGATGGTGTTGTAAGTTGTCCTCCTTTACGATGCATAGTTCACTAGTCTCTAAAATATATATAACTAATGGTCATTGTGGTATTTTAGAAATGAGCTTTTACTATCCATAGAAATGAAGAGACGAGGAAATATTGCTCATCTATTATCAGTTAGAACTTGAATCTTTCATTGTCGGTATGAATCGATTTTGTTTTTCGCCCATATAATGAAAGATAAGATTTCCAGTAGATTCCTAAATTTTGTTGAAAAAAACAAAAATGATGAGGGACGGACATATGACTAGAAAAAATTCAGTTCTTAAAATGAAGTTTAATTGTATGGTTCTTGAAGTTGTTCCTTTTGTTTACTCATTGTAGCATTCTCATATATAAGGGTGTTTGTTCTGAAAAGATGGGTGGACGTACAGCCAGCCTGTCACCTTTGCTTTGCTTACTGTACGATCCATACACGTATAAAATTCAGTTCGGATTAGGTTATTTTGTTTTATCTACCTTACTTCTAAAGGGAAATTGTGGCTTACTCTCAGGTTAACTGAAACAACCGTAGCTGTGTAAACTTAGTTTTTGTGAAGGAAGCACTTACGGTTTACATGACAACAATACCAGTATCACCATGAGATTCACACTTTATAATTTCAGCATATGAAGCTGTTAGGCAACACAAAATTGTTTGAATTGGTAACCGTTTTAAGTAATCACTCCGTGTGTGCAATGTTGGGGTCTGGGTAAGGTTACTAGACAGTAAAGGCCGGCAAGTCGATTGATGAGGTCGTGAACCTTGGTGGACTGAGATGGCTTTGATATGTATTGCGCATATCGAGCCACTGCCTGCGTCGACGTGTTGTGTCATGGGAAGATGGATTATGTTGGAAGAAGGTTCATGGTAGCCAGATGAAAACGTAGTACCAACCGATGAATACTCTCTCTGACTGTTGCTCTTAGTCATGTAAGAAGATGTAGAGTGCCTGGCTTAGAGTCCACGAGACGAAACGAATCAATGGTTGAGGACTTGTGGTGATATGGCTGAAAATCAGTCACTGTAATGAAGATATATTCCCTCTTTTAAATATTCTAAAGCCTAAAAATTCTCACTAACCGTTGTCTTCCGATTGTTTATTTTCTGATACAACTTTATCTACTTTGATATCACTCTTTTTCTACCCACCTGTTCTTTGTGTAGTACTGTAAAGTGTGCCAGCTTGAATCGATCCACTTGTTTGTGAGGTTCTGCGTTAATTTATTCAGCCATTTCTTCGTTCTGTCTTATTCCAGTGTTCAGGTCGTTTTCTACAGTATTAATACTCTGTTTACTGTTAAGTATGAAATTTGCTCTAAATTACAACATTCAAAGTTTGTTTTGTCTACATACTTAAAAATCCCTAATTAATTATTGTAAAGTATTCTTTTGTGTACATTGAATGACTTGAAGCTGTGAATCTTGTTTCGTATGATAAACATCTCATGACCATGTTTATTTACTTTTGGTGTATATAAATTAATATATGATGCAGAAAAGTCGTGGGATTATTCAAAGGTATGATGCTGCTAGTTTAATGCCAGATAACAAATGTTTGTATCACCTTGCAAGTAGATAGTCTTTTGTAAGATTACATCAGCTTTTTATTTACTTGTTTGTTTAATTGTTCCATATTTCAAGTTGTTATTCATCGTAGACTGACATTAGTTGGAGGAACAAAGGAAACCTGGGAGCACTGGACAGCTGTTTCGTCCTAGTACGGGACTCCTCAGTAGTGTGCGCCCACAACCCCACAGGGATCGGACCCATGACCTCCAGGTCCCGTGACCAGCACGTTGCCATTGGGCTAGCCATTGGGTCAGAATCCAATGGTCTATATTTCCAACTTTTGTTAGCTCACGATATAGCGCGACCGCCACGTAATGTCATTGTTGAGTAACTGTCCTCACGACCATCAGGCTTTACCCCCATCGGTCACGACTTCTCATTAGAACTTCGAGAATATCTTTCGAAGCTAGTGACCAGTGAGCACCAGTCCAATTGAATTTTGAGGGGGTTGTGGGGATTTGGAAATATTTCAAGTTGTTATTCATCGTAGACTGACATCATATTGTTGTTTTCATCATCATCATCTTATCGATTGTGTTATCTCGACTTTTCAACTTTGGTTACTTTTAAAGTTTTATTTACCAATTTTGATTTGTTGTAACGTCTAGTACCTAAGGCTAGTAAGAATTACATAAAGTTGTCATAGTGACTTATTATTCATATACTTATCTATTTTTTGTTGTTGGGCTTTGTTTAATTATTTTTACCTTTTTTTTGGAAGATATTGTTCCTATTATCAATTCTGTTAATAAACTGTTCATCGTATTCTTCACTGGTTTCTCACATTTGAATCATACGCCCTTACATCGTATCTACATGTGCTTTCTTTCCCATGATAATGGTCAGAAGGTTGTTGATGAGTTGCTGTTGTTATTGCTAATAGCGATAAAAAACGTCGGGAGATTTCTTTCCACATCTCTATGCTTTCCTTTTTTCCATTTAAAGCCTAATATGCTTGGATAGATCTACCTGTCAATCGTTTATTCTTGATTGTTTTTTCTACTGGGTGATGAGTATTGAAGGTGAAATGAGAATTTGGACCGTGGCCGGATTTGAACCAGTGACCGGCGAGTTCCTGGCTTAATGCTTTACCAACTCAGCTACAAGGTCCGACTGCTGACCAGATTTTTATTTCATTTCAATCATCAAGGGTTTTGCCTAACCACCATGTGAGTTCGTAACGCCTTATACCACAGCTTGATCGTACTCACACTGGCTGCCTAGTCAGGACTGATTGTAGTGAACTAAAAATCTAGTCAGTAGTCGGATTTCATAGCTCAGTTGGTACAGAATTGGACCGGAAATCCGGTGGTATCTGGTTCAAGTCTAGCTGCGGTCCAAATTTTCATTTCACCTTCAATCATCACCCAGTAACAATACTAGTCCGCTAAACCAAAGCTATCTCAGATAGTCAAAAAATAATCGTTTTTTTCATTATGAAATAGTGAACTGTATAGTGGGATTAATTTACATAATTGATTGTGTCTGAAAACTGAAAATAATCCTGTTTTTCATGTTAGTTTGTGTGTGTTTTCCTCATTTTGCTTCGTCTGTGATAGAACATGATTTTAGAAACCATAGTAAACCATATAATCAAGTAATTTGTCAAAAATACATTTCTTTTGCCTTTCATATGCCTACAACGATTCTATATACATCAACAGTGTATTCCTTTTATAACCATAACTTGTTCATTGAATAGTTATAGTCATGTCCAAAGATGACTACATTGGGTGGTATTCGTTAACAATTCCGCTGCATTGTTCGTTTATCTTTCTCGTACATGTGCTCAAAGAGGCACTTGTAACTTCTTCGGAATTTACGGTTTATTGTTTCATCAGATATCCATCAATCGGGATATAGTGCGCAGACGATATAGTCTGATTAGGTGAGGACACTAACAAAGTACAATACCATGTGCACCTCTAACAATAATAGTAGAATATTCGAGATGTGTTTATCACCTTCCAAATCCAAGTTATTACCGCATCGGTCTACATCGATATCTGCTCTGAAAAAAAGGAATGAAAGTGGTTGAATGATGTCAACTGCCTAACTTACTTGGAAGTCACATTTGCCCGTGTATGTTTCCAGCTGATGTTATTTTGGCACAAAAGCAAAAGTCTTGAATTTCTCCGCTTGTTAGGGGGTTTACATACCTGAATACTGAATAATATCTGAGTGTGCCGCTTAGCAGTGCATCCTACAGTATGACTGTTTAGTTGTCACCGTTAAAGGTTGAAGACCTGTGATGCCTTCAGTTTTTAGTCACTACATAGTCTTCATTGAAGCGTTAACATGTGTGACAGCCACTATGTAATCAGTGAGAGAGTTAGATGTAGACAGTTATGTAAGAAATGCTTAGCAAATTTACTTGGTTTGGAAGTTTTACTGACTAAGGTGGTCAGAGCATGTATTATGCATGTGCATTCACCACTCATGTATCATAAAGTGCTATGTTGACTAAACTAGGATAAAGTTAGAAGAAAGCTAAGGGTGATCTAAGGTAAAATATAGCACCAACCTATGAAATTGCTAACAGTTTGTCTTAGCTGTGTATGGTCAGTGTACATCACCATATTTAGATGATCAAGATGCTAACATTCAATGGTTTCATACTGTTGGTGACTTGACTGAGAAGCTATGACAGTGATGTAGGAATATTCACTCTCTATCACTTCTTGACTTCATTATTTTCAATCTTCCTCCAATTGTCTTCTTATTGTTTCTTTAGGCGATTATCTAACTGTTTTGATTTCATTTTAATACTCTTAAGAAGCACACCGAATGGGATCATCATACTCTTCCACAAAATGCTACATTAACCCATCTGTCTGTGTACTGTATAGTTTTTCTCTCCGCACGGACGCATCGATGTTGCTTATATTTTTAATTTCAATATTGTTGATGGATAGTGGCTAACACTGAAATCCGTTTTGCGCGTTTCGACCTATTTAGGACTCGTCAGCTGAATGTGTCTGTCTCCCAGTGTGCGATGTTCCTACTAGGGCTCGAACCAGCAACCAGTCGCTTCAAACGTCAGAGTGTTATCCACTAGGGAACTTCTGTACTTTCCATATGTATGAAAATACATAGTAGTGTGTGTTTACCATTTTAGATGTGGTGAATAACCTTTATTACAGAAATAGTGAAGATTAATTGAGTAAGAGAATTCTTGTGACCACTTCAAAAGATAGACATAACAAGTTCTTCAAGTTTGTATAGTTGCTAGAGTCTCTGGTTTGGCAGTAGGTGATGTCACAGAAAATTAGGGATTGAAGTGAACATCTGCTTCATTGATGCAGGTGTATCAATAACCCTTGTGTTTTTCTGTTTTGTCTTTCCTTCGTTCATTTTGACTGTGTCGTTTGCTTTCTTTGTTATATTCAGAGCTCTGACTTTTAGGTAATAAATTGTTATGCTTT